AGGTACGGTAGCTACGCGTCTCCCAGTGATGCCCATTCTGTATCTACTGAATCTATGTACTTTCCATAGGTCCTGCCAAATCCACCAAGACATCTAGCCAGAACTGACCTACACTGTGTTAACCTAAAAATTCCTGGCTAATGTTCCACTTACAGATTTTTGGTTTCTTTTTATCATAACAGAGAAGTATGTAACCCTTTTCTTCAGTGGTTTTGCCAAGTGCTGGAATAATTGAGGAGTTCCTGACAGTTCAAAAGTCAGCACAAAGCCAGCAAGCCAATTTTTCATATTCTTTCATATTCTTCTGTCAATGACCTGGTTTGAAGTTTCCATATTACTACTAATAATTAGCAAACTAGGATCATGTTCACAGTGCTGTATAAGTCTTAAAGGAATACATTTCTATGCCCAAGAAACACGTAATTACAATATCTGGATCTCCAACAGTGGGAATAGCTTCTTCTCTAACAAAACTTTCAGAAATCTTCTTAAATCACCCCAATAACATATGCATTCCTGAGATAGATATCTGCAGCACCCTGCAAATGCCTGGTTCTGTCAGTTCATGTAATTTATATATTAAAACATCTCCAAATGCATAGTGTTGTGAAATTCTGCCATCTCAGATATCCTAAAAACGCAGTCTAGCTTGGTTTAAGAGGACATTTGTTGTAAAAATATCTGTATCACCTAGTTTGCAAACATTTCAAACATAACAAATTAATGCACTCCAAAGCTGATAGCACTTACTATGCCATTAACTTACTCCATTAACAGAAACATGCTTTCTGTTATATCAGAGGTAAAACATTTTAGTCTTACGTATAAGGTCCTACACTTATTTTTTCATATACCAAATACTCTTGTGCTTTTACAGAAATTAATACAACACTTTTGCGAAAAGCTTTAATATAAATGACAAATGCCGTAAAACAGTCAAAGGGAGTTATGTGTCTCAAAGGACCATTTTGAGGCAAAATATAGGTAGAAGCAGGAGTATATGAATATGAAGAATGCTTCACTGTTACGAGCAGTATTAAAAAGCAAAAACTGAATGCAAGGGTGACAGATTGATCTTCTGTGCAAAAAGGCTGGGATAGGAGGGGTGAAAAATGACAGCAGAAATAAAGAGAGGGCAGGTTGCAGTGCGTATTTTCCTGATGTTCCTAAAGTGGGGTCTATTTGATTCCCTGTGTTACTGGTTTTGTACGTTATCTCTGGCACCAAACAAAGTAATTAGTTGCTTCAAGGACAGCAAGAAAGTCACACAAGAATTTATGGTATAATATTATCATAGAAGTAACTGCTGATGATGGTTCAGAGGCAGGATGAAGAATAAATCAGATGCACTTTAATCAAACAATTGGAAGTAAGGAGGAAGTCCTGTTTTGAACTTGCAAAAGGAAGATCCAGCAGTAGCTGCTTGTTGAAACAGGTTTAAGGCTGCAACATTTCAGAACCTGAAGGGCTAAATTATGGGGAGCTACAACGAACATGAAATCTGGTATATCAGTACAGTGGCATCATCCCAGTCTTCCACAGCTCTTGATATTTAGATTAAATATAAACAGAATTAATGTGGATGGCAGCTCCATTACCTAGCAGAAGTACATTTGCATACATAATTCTGGAACAAAGCACTGAAACATGGCCACTGAGGGGCCAAAGGAGATTTGGAAGATTTGTTGCATTCAATTATGTCACTCCTAGTTAGAATACGTACACCTTACCACAGCATAAACACTGCCCAAGGGTAATATATAAGCCAAAAAAGTTAAGCTAATATCTTAGAAGACATAATAAATCTTCTCTTGTACTGTCTGAGGCACTGTCAGCTGCATCTGTCATATGATGTGAAAGCATTTTGGAATCATCTTCCAGAGTACAAATCATCAAATCCAAGAAGGTGTAAAAATTAGATCGGTCTCAGGGAACATAATCACAACTCACTGGCTGCAGTAATTTCAGGAGCTGTGTGAAATCTTTGATTTCATTAGTAACTTGAAATTCAATTCCTATTCACTGAAATATACATCCTGACTGCAATCTGAATAAAAGTCTTCTTTTCTACATTATCAAGAGGCTTGCAATTTTTTGCGGTTTCTGTATGTGCGTGTGTTTTCAAAACAATACTAGATGATACTACTAATTAATTTTTTCTCAGTTCAAGAATCCTGTAAGTTGTCCTGTTCTAAAATAGACTGCACAAAACCACCAAGCCCTTTAAAGAGTGTTTGCATTATCCCTGAAAGCTCAGGCAGTTCTCATCCTTCATTTTAGTGAAGTGTTGAAACGTACCTTCACCCTACTCAGTTTAGATACACGCATCACATCATTTGGTTAAACATCCTATGTCAATTTGGGCCTAGAGCTGATTTTTCAGCTCTAATTCAATTTTTTTCAAACTGAATTAGACTTACAAGATTGAGTGAAACACACTGTGTTGTTTTGTTTCACCTGGTATTGTAAACAGTATAAGAAAACATCATTATCTGTACTTCACAGGTGCATAAAAAGATTTATGTCCTTTGCTCCTTCCAGTGGACTCACGGCTCTCCCTACTGGTTTTGATAACAGCCTGCAAAGATCCTTCTGT